ATTATTACATTTAAAATAGCACCTTAATATAATCAAATACCCTATGTTCACATTTTCCCCAATGTGATTTTTTTCTTTTTTTATTAAATGTATTCTTTTAAAGTGTGTTTTTATTGATTTGAGAAAGAGAGGAAGTAAGGAGCGAGAGAGAGAGAAACATCAATGGGAGAGAGAACCGCACACACCCTGGGATCAAGCCTGCAGCCTAGGTATTGGCCCTGACTGGAATTGAACCAGGATCTTTTGGTGCATGGGATTACACTGAACTAACCAAGCCACATGGGCCAGGGCTCCTAATGTGATTTTTTAAACTATCTGCTTTGCTCAAATGAAAATCTACACACTGCACTGGTTATTTCTCTCTTGTTTCTATGTATCTATAAGCTCTCCCTCTTTTACTTTTCTTACAATTTATTTATTGAGGAAATGAGCTATTTGTCTTGTAGAGTTTCTCACATTCTGGGTTTTGCAAATTGCATTACTGTGATGTCATTTAAGATTATCACTATTATAGTGATTCGCTTTTAGATGCTTGCTGCCAATTTCACTATAAATATGACTTAATTCATGGTTCATCAACACAATCATCAATGCTATACTGTTTACCATATTCTTTGTAGCATACTTGACACAAATTATTTAATTTAATCTGCAAAACAATTCTGTATGCTGTTACCCTGACTAGAGATGAAGAAAATAGGCATGGAAATGAAAAATAAAAAATAAAGAAACTTGGTCACAATCAGCCAGGTAATAAATGTCTGGGTTCAAACCCAGGTTTGTCTAATGTTAAAACCCATGAATGTTGGATTTTGTCAAATGCTTTTTCTGTATCATGTGATTTTTTTAATTTAGCCTGCTGATTGACTGCTGAACCAGTGATGCATACCTAGAATAAGTCCCACTCATTTATAATATATCTCTTTTTATGCATTGTTGGTTATGATTTGTTAAAAATTTTGAGGATTTTTGTATCTATTTTTATGATAGATATTGGCCTGAAATTTCCCTTTTTTTGTAATGTCTTTGTATCTATTACATGATAATATCCCCATCTTTTGCCTGTGGCTTGTGGTTCTTGTTTGTTTTTATCAACTTTAAGAAATAGTTTTTCAGTCCACCCAAAGAACGAACTTTCACATTTCATCTGTAACACTTAGTATGCGTTCAGCTTCAAGTAATAGAAAACTCCATCTCAAATTGACTCAACAATAAGGATATTTATTATCTCACATAACAGGAAATCCAGAAGTAGGGCAGACCAGGGCTGATTGACTTACTGACTCAACAACAACATCATTCTATCTCTTCATTCTGCTATCACCAGTGTGCTGACTTTGTCCTAAGGCTAGATCCCCTGATGGTTCTAAGATGGCTATTCCAGTTTCAGGTAACACAGCCATATGTAAAAACATCCAGTGGAGACAGTGGCGTATTTCCCTGTATGTCTCCGTTTAAGAGCAAGAAAATCTTTCCCAGAAGGCCATCAGTAGACCTCTCCTCAGTTCTCCCTAGCTAGAACTGGGTCACATTCCCACCTCTAATCTCTCACTGGCCAATCAAAAGGACAAGAGGATCCTATCCCCCTTGCCCATGACAGGTTTAGGAGTGCACCTCTGAGATGGTAATAGGGTCATCTTCTCTATTGGGTGAACACATGTGCAGGCCTCTGAAAACAAGAAGGATGGGATGGATGTTGAGTAGGTAAGCAATAGTATCTCTGACATGTTTCTAATGAGGTATGTACATTTTCCATTGTGAATAACAAAAATACTTCATTGTAACAGCCAAGTAGAATTTTTTACTTTCTACCAGATGACTTCTACTGTTGATGTATTTTCATGAAGAAGAGACTAGGCAAGATGATCTGTAAGGTTCCTTCCAGCTCTAGGATTCTGTATCAATTTTACTTTTTCATTTTTCAACAAGCAAATTGAAAACTTAAACTTACAAGGTATGGTCCAGAAATAATGATGGGTTTCAACTGATGATAGGCATGACTGGCATCCTTTTCTCCTTTAAAACATTTTTAACTAAATATATATTTCCTTGATTTCAGAAAGGAAGGGAGGGTAAGAGATAGAAACATCAATGATGAGAATCATTGATATTGATCAGCTGCCTCTTGCACGCCCCCTCCTGGGGATTAAGTCACAACCCAGGCATGTACCCTGATTGGGAATCCAACACTGACCTCCTGGTTCATAGGTAGATGCTCAACCACTGAACCACACTGGGCAGGCTCCTTTAAATTTTTTTAGACTTAGATTTAAGGAACTAAACAGACTGAAATTTATATCTGTCCATTAAGGTGTTTTTTTACTTAGTTTTTTGAAAGGCAATAATCATTTATTTGAGATTTTAAAAATAGCTATTGGGAAGCACAATTCAGGTGGAAACTTAGTGTTCCAATTAGGAGACTAATGCAAGGTATATTTATGAGAAAGAAAAGGGGAACAATTACATCATTAAAAGGAAAGCATTTCTTTGCACCTATTGGTGCAAATATAATAACATAATATAGTCCCTGTCCATTAAATTTTAATGTAAAAATAGAAAGGTTAAGTGTTCTATCTTCCCCACTCATCCATTAACACCCACTAGCTTCTAGTCCTCCTAGTACAAAGATTGGTTAGAAGTTCCTTTTCATAACTTTTTCTTTGTTTAGTGTCAACATTGACTGTCAGATATTTCTTGCACCTCTGCTTTGGCTGCCAACTATGACTTTAACTGAAGAAATCATTTTTATGCCTGCTTCCTTTCATAGTTTTTGTCTGAATAATGCTCCTTTCATTTAATCACACACAGACATTTTACACTATTGAGTATCTTTGTTATATCAAATCTTTGTTACTCTTTTTTTATCTGAATAAAATTGTTTTATTATCTCCAGTGTATGCCTAGCATCAGCTTTCTCTGGGAAAACTGCCAGCTTGATCTGTAAGCAGTCCTGTTATTTATCAGAAGGCTATCATTTGTGACAAATGCACAACACAAATTCAAGACATCATGTCTGTTGCACGTGACGTTTGGAATAACAAATGTACAGAAAACATGGGGATGTGATTTAAGCTGGTTTGGTCACACCTTCATTTCATTGAAATCTTCCCAAGCTTGGACTTGTCATTCTGGTCAGGAGACCCAGGGTGCAGTCCATTACCACAGCTCATAGTGGAAACCACACTGGTTTCTCAGTCAGCAGCACCTGTGTGCCATTGTTCTGCATGCTAGTTCCAAAAGCTTTAGACAATTTGTCTTATTTTCTGATGCAGCCTATTTGCTGGGGAAGGTATGGCCCTGTGTTGAAATGCACAGAGGAAAGACAGTGCTGAGGGTGCCTCTTTGGGAAAGGCTCAGAGTACCCAGCATGGAAGGAGCAAAGATAGGCTGAATGACCAGCTGGATGACCTTGAATAAATCATATCACCTCTCTGTGCTGCCTAGAACTCCAATTGGAGAAAAATCTTCACTCTGCATTTCATAGGTTATTGTAAAAATCAAATGAGAACATGAATAGACAGGAAAGTGTGTTCACAGATGCATAGGGATGTTATTATTTGCAAACTGGGAATTTCCTCTGCAGCACTGTTTTGTTTTGTTTTGTTTTGCTTTCCCAAATGGCTGCTGCAAAAGTTTTGACAGATTATGGTTCTGTTTTACCTCCATTCACCCTTTGCCTATTTCAGACAGAGATTACACCAGCAATGCTACTCCCGTCCCTTCAGTTTTTTCTTCCACCACATCTGGATGCCCATCTCACCATGGTGTGAAATACTGCATAGTAGCTACTTAGAAAACTCAGAGTACCTCAAACCATTCAGCTACGTGCTACAAGCAAAAGTTACACTAGAAGTATGCAGCAAGGGTTCAAAAAAGAGATAGAAAAAGCTTCTGGAAGGTAACCCCATTAAGCCGTATATTTTAGTAATTTCGGTATTTGTCCTATGTCACCGCACCCCACTTCCATGTTTCAAAGACAAGACAGTATTTTTCTCTGTCTTTGTAGCTCCCAAGAACCTGGCAGAGAGGACATCTCAGTGCATGTTCAGGAATAAAGCGAACCAGCTAAACAGCTGACCATTAACCGGTTGGTTTTAACATTTATTTACCCAGCCCATCACAGCCCAGCTATCTTTAGCTTAGCATTATAGGTAAGGCTTACTGGGTAAAAAGAGTGGGGGCAGGGAGGACGGGCCAAAACCGGTTTGGCTCAGTGGATAGAGCATCAGCCTGCAGACTGAAGGGTCCCAGGTTTGATTGTGGTCAAGGGCATGTACCTTGGTTGCCAGCACATCCCCAGTGGGGCGTGTGCAGGAGGCAGCTGATCAATATTTTTAACTCTCTCCCTTCCTCTCTGTAAAAAATCAATAATACATAATTTTTTTTTTCTTTTAAAAGTGTGCAGGGGAAGGTCCCTGTACTCCCAGGGAAGGAACCTTTATTGAGCATGTGCTAAGTGCGCTTTCACATAGGCACCTACTACGCATTTGGTCCCCACAACCCTGCTTTACAGATAAGGATGCTAAGGCTCTCAGAGCTAAGTTGTTCAGCCTCACGTCTACTGAAGCCGCAGCCTGCGCGTGGGCTCTCAAACACCCTCGCCCCCAAACTTCAGATCTGCCCGCTCACCTGCCCATCATCCCCAAGCCTGTACCCCAGCTGCTCCTCTTTCCCACGCCTGCGCCCCAGGCCCGCGGAGAGCCAGTAAAACCTGGGGCAGGCCTGGTCTGTATCTGAGCCTTCTCTGTATCTGAACTGGCTCACGCACCCACCAGCTCCCCACAAGCTTGAAGAGCTCTTGCCACCCTCCCTGTCTGCAGCCCTCGCTTCTCCAAGAGCCTGCACAGCTTTCCCCCAAGGCTGAGCTATCCTCGCCTGCAGAGCGCTTATGAGGTTCGGACGCAGAATCCGGGACCAGGCAGGGGGTCTCGCCTCCGCGCGGCCCCGGCGAGGCGCGCCGCTGGAACTACGCTTCCCAGCCTGCCCCGCTGCCGCGCGCCGGGCGCCGTGCCCGGCCCGGGGCCGCCTGTTGATCGCGCGCTCGCCTGGCCGCGGCGCGCCCTGCGAGTGGCCCGCGCTCCGGGCTGACTGACTGACGGCTCGCACCGCCGGCTCCGGGATGGACGCACGAACCGGTGAGCGCGCAGGGGCTGGGTGGGGGCCAGCCGGGACCAGGCGCGGGGTGCAGCCCCGGTCCGCAGCGCGGGGGTGGCCGCGCCCTCCCGCAGCTGGAGGATGCTCGGCGGCGTCGGCGCTCTGCCCGCCGGCTGGGCGCGGGGAGCGGGGCCGCCTCGTGCCTCCCGGGCTGCGCGGGGCCGCGCTGAGCACTGAGCTGCCCCGGGTGCGCGGGCGGGAGGCAGGTCCCACGCCCCGCACCGCCGCTCCGCAGCCCCTGCAGCCTCTGCAGCCGCCGTGCCGCAGCAGCGAGGGCGCGGTCTCCTGCCCTCCCCGGGCTGCGGGCTGGGTTTTTCCACCCTGGGCTTTGTTTCCCACTTTCTCCTCTCCCGTGAGCGTTTGACGAGCTCCTGGAGCCCGGCATAAGCCTCTCCCTGCATCGCCTCTCCCTGCACCGTTACCTTGGGCGACGGGAAAGGGTGGACCCCCGCCAACGCCCTTTTCTAAGATCTCCGGAGCTGTCACCCACAGGCGGTCCAGCTTTCAGAGAGCGGCCTGATGCAGGTCCTCGGGACCCTTTATTTTTCCTGGTTAAAGAAATGGTAGCCAGTCCCCTTAAATTTTCCGTTGATGTGCAGAAATTAAGATTGATTTTTTAAAATGCTATAACAATAATAGTATTGATAAAATTCTTCTATTGGGAATGGTTACTTAACGTATCCAGAGGTGATGCAGGCCAAATGCAAATTACCAGCGAAATGGTACGGCTTCATCCTGCCCTTTAAACATCAGAATCACGAGGCCCTTGGGAAGGGAATGAAGAGAACATCGGAGCAGGTGTTTTTAAGATGGGTTCTTGTCCTGGCTCTGCCATGAAGAAGCTGAGGGACTCTGGGCAAGGCCCTTCCCCTCTCTGAGCCCCTCCCTCCAGGTAAAATGGGACCTCTGGGTAAATGAATTCTAAACCTCTGTTGTCCCAGGACTGTCACATCGGGGAACTGAAGAGAGGAGGATGCTGTGTTCAGCACCATCACGAAAAGCCTGGTTGTGACAGAACAAGTGGCTTTCTCCTAGTGAGGAGCAAAGATTGTTCGTGCTTCGGCAATCTAATCTTTTAAAAAAGTGATTTCCTCTGTTGACGCTCTTTAACCCAATAAATATGCATAGCCACTGTGTTCGTTTTTGTAGATTACTGTAAATTTTGTAGGCAACGTGTTATGTTCGTTTTTTATTTGCTGAGGGTGAGGTCAGGGTGAGGCAGCCATGGCAGACGCGGTCAGTAAGGCTGTGGGGGAAAAGCCCAGCAAGAAGTAACTAGAGAGAATATACACCGTGGAAAGCGAGGGCGGGTGCTGGTGGATTGATGTGAATAACAAATACTACACCACAGAAGGCGTGAGAGAGCCAGAAAACCAGTGCAATGCCAGCCCTGCCGTGACTGATTCAGACAGGGGCTCATCCAAGGCACAAAACCTCTGAGCGAAAGGTTGTTGGAGAACAGGACTCGCACATTATTTCAAAGTGTCTCACCAGAGATGACCTAGGAAACCTGTGCCCTTCCAGTGGTGAGGTGAGGAGGTTATCACTTTAATCTAATGATCAGGCTTACCAGTACCTAGAATGGGTCTCTGGTCAGATGCAATAAGGCCATAACTTCACTATGGTGTTCTTGCCAAAAAGACGGGAGGAAGGGGGAGTGTGGCAGATTAAAATACTCAAGTGATGTGACAACCAGTTCGGGCATGTGAACTTGGGATCCTAGATTAGGGGGCAAAAAAAATACAATAGCTATAAAAGATGATTTGGCCCTAACCAGTTTGGCTTAGTGAAAAGAGAGTCGGCCTGCAAACCAAAGGGTCCTGGGTTCAATTCCCGTCAAGGGCACATACCTCAATTGCAGGCTTCTCCCTCCCCAGCTCGGGCCATGGTCAGGGCGTGTGCAGGAGGCAACCAGTCGATATGTTTCTCTCACATTGATGTTTCTCTCTCTCTCTCTCTCTCTCTCTCTCTCTCTCTCTCTCTCTCTCTCTCTCTCATAAATAAATAAATAAATAAATAAATAAATAAATAAGATTATTTGATGACAATTGGGGAAAGTTGAATATGGACTGAATGTTAGATAATATTATGGGATTTCTTTTAATTTCCTGAGGTGGAGTAGTGGTGCTGTGGATGCATAGGATACTGCCCTTATTCTTTTGAAATGTGGGTGCTAGAGGCAAAGTGTTATGACATCTGGAACTGTCAACTGGTTCAGGAAAAAAGGTCTAAGAGCGGAGAGCAAGCTCAGAAATACAGCAAAGGGATGACATTTGGTGAACCAAAGACAGTGGTATACAGGTACTTACTGTGTTATCCTTTTGCCTTTGGGTAGATTGAAACTCTTGAAATAAAATAATTGGGGGATATTAATAAAATAAACAAGGAGAAAGCACTGTAGAGGGCTGTGTGGTTGGTGACAGACAGCTGCAGTGAAGCTGTGGGGAACTCATCGTAAATCTGTGGATTCAAGTTCCCAACATGAAAATCCTATTGCAGGTATGAGTGGGTCTGGGAAAGTTCTCTTTTTTGGTTTATTTTGGCTACTATCAATCATTGTCTTAGAACACCCCATCTCCTAACTCTAACCTCAAATATTAATAATTCCCAAACCTTAGAAATTCTAGACCTACCCAAGAACCATCTTGAAATACTGTCCCTTTCCTCTCTATGTTCAAGATCTCTGTAAACATAGAAGGACTTCCAGGTGGTGGCTCTTTTTATTTTGAGTTAGGGAGGTGTTGGAGGAAAAACATTCAACTTTTTGATAGAACAGAATTTGTAGGGTTTCCTTCCATTCCCTTTATTTGTAAATCACATACAACCATATGTTTCCTTATTGACTATAAGTGGTTCAAAAGGTTCATAGAAGGCATGTGCAAAAGAGACTTCCTATTTCCAGACCAAGAAAACAGAAATAACTTGTGTTTGTTTGTTTGTTTGTTAATCCTCACCCAATGACATTTTTCTGTTGATTTTTAGAGAGAGAGAGGAAGAGAGAGGGAAAGACAAGAAACATCAATGTGAGAGAAACACATTGATTGATTACCTACTTTTTGTGCCCGAACAGAACCTTTTGTTACAATGATGTTTTTCCTATCCCTGAAATATATATATTCCTGTTTTTAAGTTTTGCCTTCCTGTTTTGGCATCTCTTTCATAAGGTTTGCCAGTATCCCGGATTTCCCTAGTGACAGCTGAACAGAGTGGGAATGAGAGGATCACATCTAGTAGTGTGGATAACAGGCGTTCAGGAAACAGCAAAAGGCTAGGTGTGCTGAGCCTGGACATAGGAGTAAAAGCAAATCTGAGGCACCAGTCCTAAGAAAGGAGACCTCTCATCAGAGTGGTTGGAGGGGCCCAGAGTCTAGTGAGCTGGGCTTTTCTGTTCTGCCAGTATTTGCAAGGAAGACCATCTCTGTTGTGTATAGCTGACAACCATTCTGACTGGGCAGTGCCCATTCCATACCAGTTGCTAAGTGTTTTTTTTGCATCACTCGGTAAGCATTCGTGAGTCAAGGTCCACACTATACCTATAAGTTAAAACAAAGCATTGGTCAACACCTGGGATACCGATGTCAGAGAAAGAGACTAGTTAGGTGGGTCAAAAACTACATAAGCAGGCAGAAGTGAGTCAAAGACAAAAAAGTAGGGAACCCCTAGTGCCAGTCAGTCAGGAATTGAAAAGCTTATAACTTCCCGAAGGCAAGAGGAGAAAACATGGCTAGCACCAATAGGCAGTTAAAAACTAAGATGGCACAGATACCCAAGTGGCATGCACGGAGTTAGGGACAGGGACTCCCCAGCAGACGGACAATAAGGGCAGCAGCAGGGAGTAGAACCTGACAAGAGAATTAGAAACCAGGTGGCAGTCTGGCAGACAGCAAGACTTTCATGCTAAAGCGCTTCTGCTACAGCCAAGAAGTTTCTTGGCTACTTCCTACCCAGGTGGAAACCTATCTCATATTTTCGAAAGCCTACACACGGTGGCTTGCTACACCTGGCAACACTGTCTCAGAGCCCTTATAGGATGCTGCCTTGCTGTTCAACAGACTCTGTCAAGGATCACAGAGGAACAAATACCTCAAATAGAAGATTACCCCCAGACCAAGGACAAATGAGAAATGGTTTTGGCTGAGGATTTGCATGTGGTAGACACTGAACCTAGTACACACTCTATCACATTTAGCATCATCTCCACCTTCTGAGGTAATACTGGCTTTTGCTCATTTTATAGAGAGAGGAACAGAGGCTCAGAGATTTGTCACCCATTTATGGATCTATAACCATTAAACCCAGGGCTGGTTGACTCCAGGGCTCATGCTTTTAGCCTTCCATCTTCTGAATATAGAGGGGGGATGGTCACTGGCGGGCACATTGTTTTAAAAGAAGACTTTTAAAGCACAATTTGAGCTATCCCAGTGGTCAGCAAACTCATTTGTCAACAGAGCCAAATATCAACAGTACAATGATTGAAATTATTTTTGAGAGACGAAAATCGTACGTGCGCACCCGCATGTGGTATTTTGTAGAAGAGCCACAATCAAGGGCTCCGCATGTGGCTCTCGAACTGCAGTTTGCTGACCACTGAGCTATCCTAACTTTTGTGTTGTAAGATTGGCAAGTTAAGCCAAAACCGGTTTGGCTCAGTGGATGGAGCATCAGCCTGTGGACTGAAGAGTTCCAGGTTCAATTCCGGTCAAGGGCATGTACCTTGGTTGCGAGCACATCCCCAGTAGGAGGTGTGCAGGAGGCAGCTGATCGATGTTTCTCTCTCATCGATGTTTCTAACTCTCTATCCCTCTCCCTTCCTCTCTATAAAAAAATCAATAAAATATATTTAATTTAAAAAAATTGGAAAGTTAAGCTCAAATAGTCTTAGATACAAACTTTTCATCCCCCTTTCAGCTTGTTCCCTCCAATTGCCTTGTCACATTTTTTGGCCTGAAATTCCTCCTTATTCCAACTTATTCTCTGTCCT